GTACTCTGAATTTGGGCAGAATCTATAGATAAGAGAGCAAGCTGAATATCTGCTTCATTTGACTGCATGAGCAGAGCGCGGCGTGGAGGCATTGTGTGTTAAGATAGAGTAGGTGATCAAAGTTGGTGGGGTGACCGACTCGCTTGTCTGACCGACTCGCTTGCCAACCATGTTAGCTTAAGTGCTAAGAGGTATCTATCTTAGGCTTATTCTTATTTAATTTATTTATTAACCCTAATAGTAAGTTATAGGTCTGTAATCTACTATTGTAGTAGTTTCTTAGGAAGATAGCATGTGCGTAGTAGATATAGTAATATAGTTAACTAGATAAATATAATAATGTGCTAAAGGCTTACTTCCTCCTTCTTATATTTATATTAATTATTCTTGTATTATTTAAGGAGTACTTTATAGTACTTAAGGTCTTCCTTAAATGCCTTCTAGCCTGTTATTAATAGCTTAGTTAGCCTTAATAGTATATTAGTTTTTACAGCTAGCACGTAGTTAGTAATAGTTAGAGCCCTTAGCAAGAGTAGCTTTAATAGTAGTAGTGTAGTTGTCTTTAGGTTAATCTTGTCCTAGATATTGCGCGACAGGCATCTCGCATGTAGCTGCGCGGGCTAGCTAGTCCAGTCGGCTTAGTCCCTAAGGACTGTTGTTAGGTCGCGGTACGCTAGTTGTGCCATTTCGATTGCGGCAGTGAGGTTGCGGCAGTGAGGTTGCGGCAGTAAGGTTGCGGTAGTGAGACTCTTAATTGTTAGATGCTCGTACTGTGAGCCAGAGTATGTGCTTAACAAGATCTTAGGTGGTATAATGATATATTGATGATTGTGGCGATTGTGTTGCCGTCAGCGTCGTGCTGGTTGCTACAGGATTGAAGTGGGGGGGGAATTAGCGCTGTTCGCGGCCGCCGGTGTGCGGGCCAATCAGGAGTTGCCAGGTCTCGCTTAATCGACCTGGCAACTGCTGATTGGCTGCACGACAGGTCCCTGCTCGATTGCGCAGATCCGACCTCTCGCCGCTCGCTCTTATCTGACAGAAGGTGGTAGGGATTTGTATGTGTTATGGCGTTTGCTTTCTTAGTAACGTACTCTACAAGCATGCTGGTCACCCAAGTGTACTGGTCACTTTTGCCAAGACCACACCAACACTATAACTACTTTGCAGTACTATAGTACACACATCGGGAAAAGTTTTTCCGTTGTCGAAATTGGGAAATCGTGGCATTGTACTGTGGGCAACAGTAGGACTTGTAGGCCTACAACAGTGCATTCAATGTCTAGCCAATTTCGAGCCAACAGCTCCAACGGTCCTAACAGCTGCAATGGCTACAACAACTCCTAATCCTGCTACAATAGTAGCTCTGCTTAATAAACTATACTTTTATTATATTAATATAACGTACTCTATCACTAAGCTAGTTATATCACTAAACTAGTTAAAATCTCTTAGCGCGCCCAACTTATATTACAGTAAATTAAATTACTTGCTATTAAATAGTAATCTAGCGTACTGCGTGCTTTTATTAGATTAAGAATCTTCTTCTGTATCTTTCTAACACGTTTAAGCGTTGTGCCCTGTGCCTCCATAGTTTCTACAGTGCTGTTAGGCTAACTAGGTCCTTTCTTAAGTACCTGCACCACAAGTCTTCTTTAGTAGCTAAGCTGCTACAGACACCTCAGCAGCTACCTGTGATGCTGCTGGGCCATACTCAAGTGTGCTGCTATGCTGAATTTGCTTTCACTTGCGCGACTTTCTCCTAGTCATAACTACTAATTACTCTTTAAGCTTAGTAATGCAAGCAGCTAACAGCGCGTTTTAGTGCAGCATTAATTCACTACCTTTAATAAGCTAAGAGAAGCTAGCCTAGGCTATAACTAGTAACTAAGTAAAGGAGTTATGTACAAGCTTTAACTAAGACCTAAA